CTTTCAGTAGCATGAAGTTGTACATCTGTTGCACAAGTAGGACTGAATGGAATCCGTACAGCAAATCCAAAATGTGCCATCACAAAGACGGCTTGAGCATATGTAACCAGCACATAAAACTTTCGCCCTTTGTTGCACAGTTTGTGGATAAGAGCATGGGGAAAATGAAATAGGGACTTCTAAGCCCAGGCCAATTGCCATTGTCAAAACACCCTCTATTAGATAAATCTCGACATAAAATTTATACCACAAATAAACAGGCACCTCTAATAACCCAAGCGCACTAAAACTATTATCGCCATGTGATGGAGCAGATTCATTGTATGGCTTCCAAGACAAATTGAAGGAGCCAAAATAGAGGTAAGAGAGGAAGTTATTTGCATTAATAGACTTCTCTGATGCACTGGTCGAAACAACCTTGACAGCATGGTCAGCGGATATGCGAGGGTAAGCAATAGTAACCCTCCCAATATCATTACACATCTCATAGGGAAAGGTGGCAACACGCGCAACATATACACCGAGATTAAAAAGAAGTTGTAAGCATTTAATCTTATGCATCAATGTGGTTCCATCCATAATCAAGATGTCTCTCCCGTATTCACTATACCTTCTACAATGCGAATTTGACTGCACATCAGTGACGACCTTGGAGTAGCAGCTATGGGACATGACATTGAACAACTGGAGTAAGTGGTTTGTGGTACCTTGGAGAATGATCGTTGCAGTTGATGGCCCAGGATCGAACACTTTGGAGTGGTAGTGATGCATTTCGTCGAACATCAGAGATGCAGTCCTGTCGGAATCGTCATGTACTGAATCTGCAACTTTGTTGGTAGTATCCACATTCGTCAACTCAGCGAACAGAAAAATCCACTCAGGTTCATTTCTTTGAGGGTTTCCATCCAACACTTTGGTCTGAAAGAACTTCCTCCCCATCTGATTAATTTACTATTTGCTAACTTAGATTCAATCGCTGGGAGAATGATAGTCGAACCGGTGAACATCTTGCAGTCGTCGCTCACATCTTGCAGTAGTGTTACATAATTAGTGATGTCATTAGTAGTTATAAATGTAACACTCTGTTTGGATTATTGTTCCCCGTTATCGTTTTAAGTATCGTATTGTATTGTATTGTTTTATGAATACAATGTTTGGATAGATTGTATTGTTTGTAATTGTTAAATGTAAGTAATATTTTGCTGTTTGGTTTGATTGTGTTGTACTATACTGTAACTAATAAGTTTACTAAAATATCCTCAATTATTTAAATATTAAATTTATCAAAAATTATGCATAAAAATAATTTTAAAAAATAAAAAAGAAAGCTAAAACACCTTAAGAAAACATAACAAAGGAACAAGATAGAAGAAGGCAAAACACAGCTAATTAGAGTTGAGTTAAAAGCAAAATTAGGAAGAAAAAAAATAAAACAAAAGGCGGCAAAACACTTTTAACGTTGGGCGCATAAGTTTTTGGAAAAAAACAAAGTAGGTTATAGGTTTGAGATTTGGAGTTAAAATAGAAAAAAAAAAGGTAAAGGTTAAAATAGAATTGTGGAGGAATAAGTTACGGTATAATTGGAAAGAAAAATAGGAAACAATCCTACCACACCAAATCGGTTGTTTCAAAAAATGGGACTTTTCATTGTTCCGGCACAATAGATTTAACAATACAATATAACCAATTTTAATGAAACAATCAAAACAAATATTGTTTTATGATAACAATATAATACCATACAACGGAGAACAACCATCCAAACAAGCTGTAAGCTAGAAGTAATCTTCCATTCATTTCCAATTCAGTACATATAAGTGATTGTATTACATTCTGAAATCGTCAATAAGTAATTTACAATGTATTCCTATAATCTCTCTTCTTCTCTCCGTTCTCTTCTCTTTTTTCCATCGACATTGTTAAACCTTCGAGCTTTCTCTGTTAAAGCTCCTAGCCAGCCACATTCAAACTTTGGATTCTTGAAATCCCTGCATTTTAGTAAGGCAAAATACATTGAATTGTTAATTGCTTTAGTTTAAGAGCAAAATATAACAATGTCACATGCAGGATAACAGTCTTGCACCTATCATGTCAAAACCCTTATCTAATTTCTCGCAATGATAATAATCCATTACTCCACTCTCTAGTTCTTTATGATTAATTGTTAATTGCTTTAGTTTAAATAGTTGATTTTAGTTCATAATCATCCCAAATCAAAGTGTTGATCATCTTGAATAGCGTTTAAGCCCGAAATTACTTGAACATTGTTTAATCCAATCCATGTGAAGACGATAATTATACAATACTATTTTTGGCTAGCAAGCCTTAATTTCGTGTTCTGTTTTGCGCTCGTTAAGTATCCCATTCTAGATATTCTCTCATCAACGGGGATCTTATCATGGACTATTCTCCACGTTAGAAAGGCCATTTTGAAGGGAATTGCCTTATGCCATATCTTTGCATCAATGATGGAGCTGTTTTTCTTCTGCCTCAATAATTTCCATGCTGAGGATTAGGAGTGGCAAACGGGTGGGTCGGGTCGTATATGGTTAGGGTCGAAAACGGGTAATAAAAAATGATCGATTATCCGATCCGACCCATATTTAATACGGAATAAAAAACAGATTAACCGGCGGATAATATGGGTTACCCATATTATCCATGACTTCTTGTATATGATCACTTTTGGGAGAATTCTTAGTCTCCCTAACTTGAGCAACCCCCAATTTGAGGCTTTCCAAATGTAAAAGTTAGATCCATTGGTTATCCATTGGTTACTCATTGGTTATCCATTTTCTAAATGGATAATGTGGTTCTTATCCATATTTAACCCGTTTTTAAAAAGTTCATTATCCAACCCATTTTTTAGTGGATAATATGGGTGGTTAACCGTTTTCGTTGAACCATTTTGCCACCCCTACTGAGGAAGGATACTGAAAATGCTCCACTTCTATCTGGTGTATTGTCCGGCTTACTACTCCTTATCACGATGCTCATGTTACTCAAAATGTTCCGCAGAGCTTCTAGCCATATTACCTCGGTGATGTCTTATTGCCACTCTCCATACACCAGAACTTTGTTTAGTTTGATATCTTTAGGTTCGACGTTCACTGGTAAGTGATCGAATAGTGGTCCAATAATTGGCCAATTGTCAAACTAAAAGAATATCTCACCAATCCAGACAATATGTTCTTTAATCTCTCGTCTAATCTTGCATAAGTTCATCCAACATATTGAGGCTCTATTACCTGGCTACTTTGTCACTGAGTGGCCTCTGTGATAATATTTGGCTAGCATACAATATTTCCATAGAGACTTTCCAGTCCTGATATTTTACCATAATTTTGCAAGAAAAGATTTACCCACATCCTTCTTGCCTTGCCGGTTCATTTGTTATCAGCACTACAACCCCCTAAGGAGTGCTAGTTCAAATTGAAAAGATCCTTTGGAATTCTGTTGATGGTAAAGATAGATATCACTGGTCGGCATGGTCAATATTATGCTCGTATGAGGAATGATGTGCAAATTTCAAAAGGCTACAGGATAAGTATAGCCTTCCCTCTTGGAATTGCTTCTCCTCAAAAGCACTTTTCTCAATTTTTGGCCAAAAGTGTTTTTTGCAAAAAAAAAAAAAAAAAAAAAGCACTTTTGGCCAAAAAAAAGCTTGGCCAAACAGGCTATTAGTCTCTTGCTAACTCTTTTCAACTTTTGGTAAAGTACCCATAATGGATTTCCTTGAATAGGTTCTTGCCATAATTCGTGTACCACATTTAGGAAATCTTCATGATCAGTCCATAGATCCAAATATTTGAAATATTTGGGCCTATCATTAGACACATTTTTCATAGTAAATAGAAGGGGTTATGGTCCGAGCAAATTCTAGCTAGGTGTTCCATAGAAGTATCTGAAAACTCATCAAACCATTCTACATTGAAAAGGAGTCTATCCAATCTTGTCCATATTGTTTTCGGAGGCCCCCTATTGTCACTCCAACTGAAAATTGAACCATGAAATCCAGTATCTTGTAGACCACAATCATCTATACAACTTAGGAAATCTATACCAAAACACTTCAACTTTAATAATAAAAAAATATTTTTTGCCACAAATAAGCTTGGCCAAGCAGGCTATTAATTTAGTAAGGAAACATGTATATTCAATTCAAAATAAAGGGAGTAATATTGGTCTTAAAACTTCCACAAATTGTGAGCTTCAAATTGAAATTTAATCAAAATAAACCCAATTTTAGATGTTAATGTGTTCAAATTAAACCGTCAAGAAAATATAGGGTGAAATTAAAAAATAGCCAGATTTACAAGTGATAGTTGAAAAATAGCCACAATGTCAAAAGTAATTGAAATTTAGCCATGTAAAAATAAATCTGAACGAAAACACTGTTCAAAATCCGAAAAATATTCCAGCATAATATACTGGAGTTCGAATTTTTATAAGTGACTTTCCAGCATAATATACTAGAGTTCCAGTATAATATAATGGAGTTTCAGCATAATATGCTAGAAGTTCATACACAGTTGATCCAATCTCCAGTATATTACGCTAGAATTTTCCGTGTGCTGGAGTTGTAGCATAATATCCTAGAAGTTCATACATAAGTGCATCAATCTCTAGTATATTATGCTGGAATTTTTCGTGTTATAGCAAAATAGTGACTATTTTTCAATAATTTTGCAAACGCTGCCTATTTTTCAATTATCAATCCGAGAACTGGCTAGTCCATGCAATTTTTCAATATAAACAAATTGAACTGTCCAAACTCAAACGAGTTAAAGCGGGTCATATACTAACTTCCTACTACTGTATTTGAAAGGCAGACAAAACTTTACTCCTAGTACTAGTACTAGAATTCTTGAGAAGCTTCTAGGTGTTTCCTTTAACACGGTATCCCCAAGACACAAACACTTGTCCAACTAAGCTGACACCTCTGGCTTCACTGTGCAATTGTTAGAAACTTCCAATAACTCACTGTTCCTTCCAAATATCTAACACAAGATATTTTCCATCTGTTTTTCTCTAGAACCTTCTACTCCACTTCCCATTTTTATATCACTCGGCTCTCACTCTCTTTCATTAATCCCCACAAAATCCACCTTTAAATCCTTTCAAAACCGTTAATCTAAGTATAACTGAAAAAGTAAAAGGAAATGGAGAAAGGAGTGAGAGTGAAGCGGGAGGAAGAGGACGTTGCCACCGCCGTGACGGCGGCGCCGCTACCAATGGAGGGGCTGCATGACGTGGGTCCACCACCGTTTTTGAGCAAGACGTATGAAATGGTGGAAGACCCTTCAACGGATGCAGTAATTTCATGGAGCAGAGCAAGAAATAGCTTTATTGTTTGGGATTCTCATAAGTTTTCAACCACTTTGCTGCCTAAGCATTTCAAGCACAGTAATTTCTCCAGTTTCATTCGCCAGCTTAACACATATGTAAGTACTTTTCTTTTTACTTCTAACCCACATCTAATTTTGGTATCCTGTGTTAGCTTTAGTCTATGATTAATTTGGTTTATAATTAGCTTAATTCAAACCTTTGAGTAGTTTATTATGGATCTTGTTGAGAATTATGTCTTGCTGAGGATCAATTATGTGTTAGCTTTAGAGTTTGATTAGTTGGGTTTCTAAATAGCTGAACTCCTACCTTTGGATATTTTATTGTGAATCTATTGAGAATGATGTCTTGGTGGTAACCAATTTTGTGGGAAATTTGAATAGCTAATTATGTTTCAAGACGTGCATTGCTAAATTGAGATGTTTTGTGTAGAACTGAATAGCCAATTTGATTTAGGGCCCCAAATTCTGGTTTTTTGGTTAGTTTGAGGTGACTTATGCCAATTGTTCTTACTGGGAGAGGTATGGCTGAACCCTAGTCCCTAATTGTTATGGTTTCAAATCTTATTACTCCATGTTTTTGAAATGACTTAGTGATTTTTCCTTTAGCGTCCAAGAATATCTTGGTGCATCTTGCATTATAAGTTGAACTGCTCAATACTACCTTTCAAAGCTATATACTTTTCCTAGAATCAACAATTCATCGTTTCTGCAGAATTCTTACTCATAAGCGTTATCTTTCCGTTCAAATGATTTGTTTGGAATTTGCGTGTGCCGAGTGCACAATATTTTCTTTGCTTTGCATGACATTGATATATATTTTGCTCCATTAGCTTTAGACAGAAGTTCAGATAGTCTCTGCGGCTGATGTTTGGTGGCTCTGATGAATTCTACTGCTTGTGTTTGATGGTTGTACAATGAATACTCGAAGAAAAGAAGCACGTTAGGTTGTTTCTTCTGTTTCAATCTTGGCTCATCATCTATACTTTCTTGTATTTTCTGCAGTAGACTATAAAGTTTCTCAACTATAACATCATGACAATGCAGGGTTTTAGAAAAGTGGATCCGGATAGATGGGAATTTGCGAATGAAGGTTTTCTAGGCGGACAGAAGCATCTTTTGAAGACCATAAAGAGGAGGAGGAATGTAGGTCAGAGCATGAACCAACAAGGATCCGGGCCGTGTATTGAAATAGGGTATTATGGAATGGAGGAGGAGCTCGAAAGACTAAAGCGGGATAAGAATCTTTTGTGGACTGAAATAGTTAAGCTTAGACAGCAACAGCAGAGTACTAGAAATCAGATCATTGCAATGGGAGAAAAAATCGAAAGCACAGAGAGGAAACAAGAGCAGATGATGAGTTTCCTAGCCAAGATTTTCAGCAATCCGACTTTTCTCCAGCAATACTTGGATAAATGTGTGCAAAGAAAAGATAAACAACGCATTGAAGTTGGGCAAAAGAGGAGACTAACTATGACCCCCAGTAGTGAGAACCTTCAAGATTTTGTATCAGTTGCCAACGGAAGTGATCAGCCTATGAATTACTCCACTCGAGATCGTGAAACGGAGCTTACAAATATGGGAAGCGATATGGCAATGCTGTTCTCTGCTGCATTGGACAATAAATCAAGCAGCAACGCAAGGTCGGCTTCTGTTGTGACAGCAAGTGCAACCGATATGGATCTAGTGCCTGAGAATATTTGGGAAGAGTTGCTCGGTGAAGATCTTATATCCGGGGATGGAGCAGAGGAAGTACTGGTTATTGATCAACCTGAGCTTGACGTAGAAGTTGAAGATCTTGTTGGGACAACATCTGATTGGGGTGAGGAATTAGATGACCTTGTAGATCAAATTGGTTTTCTCTAGGTCCAGTGACTGAAGATTGATGTTGTGGAAATCCAGTTGTTCTCCTGGCGTCCATGCACTACTCCAGTATCCTATACATAATGTATTTTGGTTGTGTTACTGCCAACATGTTTTGATGACATGTTGTTACATTTTATGTCTCTCCTATAGCAGGGAATGGCGACGTCGTGGAGGCCTACTAATGTTGCTATTTTATATCTCTTGTTAATGTATATAGATTGTACCAATTCTTCTTGAAAAGTGATGCGCACAATTAATTTTTCCTCTTATATTTTTTCAGGTTAAGATGCAGATCTACTTTCATGAAGATTTGAGGCAATCTTTAGTAGGGATCACACGGATATCAAGTATAGATAAAAGTTCAACAGTTTTTGTTTCTTAGTCTAGGCAGTTATGTCGGAGCAGTATTTGTTTTGACTTTTCTTGGTCATTTTGTAGATGATTGAAGCTCCTTGTGGAAACAACTTCTCTACCTTTACTAGGTAGGGTAAGGTTCGCGTACACACACTATACGGTAAAGGTAGGGTAAGGTTTGCGTACACACACTATACTATGTTTGTTGTTGTTGTTGTTGTTGATTGAAGCTCCTTGTGATGTTCAACGGAGGTAATAATTAGTTCTGTATTCCAGAGTGATATAATTGTGTCATAGATACATAACTAGTAATTAGCTTTTGTATTGCACAGAATGATACAATTCAACATGTCTCTTGCATACACTCTTTTCACTTAATTATGGTTAAGTATCATACTTTCTCATCTCAATCTGATAGTTTTGTATTTGATGTAGGTAGACCTATGTGGATATTCCGTAATCTAATTTTGTTTATTGGATGAGTGGATTTGCCACCTTGGGCAGTCTGGTGTTCTTTAACTTCTCAGTGTACGGCGGAGGTCTATGCTGCAAGATGCAAGTATGCACCCCCTGTACTGTGTTACTGCACTCTCAAGAAGTAGTTGCTGTAATCAGGGAAAGATTTATTTGAGCTGAGTCTTATGGTTTTGATAGATTATGGCCTGTGACTGCTGAAGTTCTAGGACTCGCTTTAAAGTGTTTCAGGTGGAATATTACGATAGAGGTATTTAGCCATCAAAAAGTTTGAGATATGTGGTTGAGTTATAGCTTCTAAGTGACATTTGTATAGTTAAGTGATTTTTATGTTATAAACAGATAAAATATGATTTTACTAGATAGTTTCGGATAAATGAGTGATCGATCAACTCATGTAACAATTAATACATGTTTTATCGCTAATTATCCGCTAAAACTTATATTTTATAACTTGCCAACTCATGTTTTACAATTTTATTATCTCATTAGCATGTTATTTATTTTATGCAAGAAATTTTACACTTATAATAGTGGTACTTCTTCCTTGTGTTTGGATACGGCTTAGCATTGTAGTGTGCATGAAACAAGTGAGGTGGTTGTAGTAAAAAAGAGAGCTGAGAAGAAGAAAGGGAAAAAAAATTAAGTGTATAATTTATTCTGCATAAAAGAGAATTTTATTTTGTTAAGGTATTTCAAGTGGTAGAGTCTTGGAGTTAACAACTTATATAGAGTTTGTTCGAATCACATGATGTTATTATACTGTGTATTTTGAAGGGGGCTAGTCTAGAGTACTATTGCTGGATCGGTAAAAATTACTGCGATAGGCTTGAATCTTCTTGAAGAGAGCAAGACATACACGCCTCAAGATGAAGTTATTTCATTTTTTCCCTACAATTTTATTTTCACGGACAAGAAATTTTCCTTTGGATAAAGAGTTATATACTGGAACTTCCATTAAATAATTCTAGAGTTTGGACTTTGGAAGTAGCAAGATCTAATAACAAGAATTATGGTTGAATTTCAAATAAGGTAATATTACTTTTATGCAAATTTAAACGTAATGTGATATTTAAAGGATGAGAAAATGCGATATTAATAGATCATGCTGGTGTTATCATAAAAAAAGCATAGTATCAGTTTAGGGTTTAAAAATATGCCAAATTTAGGGTTGCCTATGAAAGGAGACAAAATCTCTTAGACAAATAGTATCAGTGTAACCTCAACAATATAATAAGCAGTTGGGAAAAATGGTCTCACCTCAGGGTCCAGACAAAACTCGGAAAGCATTTCATGTCCAAATATTCTCTCTTTTGCGTAAAGCATCAAAGATGTAACTAAACGAATCGAGTTTCGTTAAAATAACCACCCCATGAATTAAAAGAACATTTCCTGTGATAGGTAGTCAATATTTTAGTATATTATCACGTGGTATTCGTGCACCCAACCTATTGGAGCATACATGTAGCTCCCCTTGACCTTTCACCGGTAAAAATAAAAACAAAAAAGTGTCAAATTTGCTTCTGATACTATTTGGAATTGAGCAACTTCACCATCCCTTAAACTTTTCTTAGTAATATTCCCGCCATGATAAAACAGTGTCGTGTTTGCCCTCGGCCCCTAATGGATTTCAAACTTAAAATTAATGGACTTCTTTGACATAGTCCATCCCTTTCACATTTGAGCCCATTATTGACAAGGGGCATATATGAGACGATTTTTTAACGACAAGAATATAAATGAACCAAAATGTAACGGATGACAAAATTGATAGTACATGGATATACGTGAACTCTTTTACAAGTAAAAAAGGATCCAACTTTATAGTCCCATAGTCTTGAAGTGCTTTCTACTGGAGTTACTAATGAATTGTCTCCTCCCTTCTTCTTTTTTCTGAGCTGAGGGTCTATCGGAAACGGCCTCTCTGCCCTATCGGGGTAGGGGTAAGGTCTGCGTACACATTACCCTACCCAAACCCCACTGTGTGAGATTTTACGGGGTAGTTTTTGTTGTTGTTGTAGTCTTGAAGTGCTTTTCAAGACATAAAGCCTAGAACTTGTAAAATCTTGGTTTCTTGTGAACGTTCCAATGGTTAGTCACTACCTGCCTATGGTTCTGCTAGTTGGACCCGGAAAACCCGGTTCAGGTGTCAAAACTAGTGATTAGGTGAGTAGCTGAGGAAATTGAGCCATAGTGAATAGACAGACCAAAACTAGTGGAGTAGTAGCTGAGGAGATTTAGCTCAAGTGAAAAGACAGAGAGGCCTTATTCTTCACATTAAGTGGCTCATGACTCCACTCAAAAAAAGGACAATGAAAACACAAAAGGCATCACAGCAAACATAGTATTTGGAGAATCTCTACATCTGCTCTTGTCTGGACAAGAACAGATTTATTTTATGTATCAATCCAAAATGAAGTTTGGCCTTTTCTAATAGCTTCATTAGGCACTCTCCCTATATTTTTCCTTCCTTTACCTGCCTAGTGTAATCTGCAACGTTAAAAATATAAACACTTGAAAGTGCAAAACCAAATATAGAGGACCCCACCATTTAAGCATAGCCATCATTAAGAACAAAGACCAACAACTCATGACATGATTTGATCATAGATAAAAAAAAAAACAAGGCCGGCTCACTCAACCCCATTAATTTAAAGATTCTCCTAAACATATATGTATATATATATGGAATATTAGTTTCATATATAGTCAAACATCCATTTGATCTCTCCTTCTCCATCAAGAAAAAATATGGAGTTCCTAAGCAAAATAATTCTACAACCAATAGAAAACACTGCAGAAGTACTAATAAAGTCACCATCTTTGGTCTCAACAATATGCACTATCTTAGCCTTCGTAGCTGGTGTTTTGGTCTACTTCTATAGACCTTATTGGCTTGTGAGAAAAGTACCAGGTCCTCCAGCTTTTCCCCTTGTAGGACACCTTCCTTTGATGGCTAAATATGGCCCTGATGTCTTCTCTGTCCTTGCCAAACAATATGGTCCTATCTTCAGGTTTGCCTTCATTAGTATCATTTCTTGATCAGTTTATCTTTGTGGTACTTAGTTGTTTCTATTTGTTATTCTTGAGCAGATTTCATATGGGTAGACAGCCACTAGTTATTGTAGCAGATGCAGAACTATGCAGAGAAGTTGGAATAAAGAAATTCAAGGACATACCAAATAGAAGCATCCCATCTCCAATTGCAGCATCCCCTCTTCATCAGAAAGGCCTATTTTTTACTAGGTAAAGTAGTTCAAATAGAAAGCATTTTGCATAATAATTGGCCAGCCTCGTCAAAATGATTTGATGAGGCTTATTCAAGGGGAGCCATTAGCCATCATTAGATGATCATTTCCAAGGTTCTATATAAAAACTAACACTAATAAAAGTGCAGCCCGGTGCACAAAGCATCCCTCGTTCACGCAGGGTACGGAGAAGTGCCGCACCCGAAGGGGTGTAATGTAGGCAGCCCACATTGATGCAAGCATCAATTGCTGATTCCAGGGATCGAACTAGTGGCCTCTAGGTTAGACGGAGATAACGTTACCATTGCTCCAAGGCTCACCATATTTGATGATTCTAATTTTGCATAATGGAAAGTGTGATGTTCTACTAGAAGAAACCTAAAATGGTATGTTAATTACAGGGACTCCAGATGGTCAACAATGAGAAACACTATTCTATCAGTCTACCAGCCATCTTACCTTGCTAAGTTAGTGCCAATCATGCAATCGATTATCGAATCTGCAACCAAAAATCTTGATTCTGAGGGAGATCTCACATTCTCTGATCTCTCCCTCAAGTTAGCAACAGATGTAATTGGACAAGCTGCTTTTGGTGTGGACTTTGGACTCTCCAAACCAATATCAGACAAAATGAACCATGAGCAAAATGACAGTGAAGTCCAAGAATTCATCAATCAGCACATTTACTCCACAACACAACTCAAAATGGACTTATCAGGTTCTGTTTCAATCATACTGGGATTGCTTGTTCCGATTCTTCAAGAGCCATTTCGCCAAGTGCTCAAGAGAATTCCTGGCACTATGGATTGGAAAGTAGAAAGAACAAACAAGAATTTAAGCAGGAGGCTAGATGAGATAGTAGCAAAGAGGATGGAGGAAAAAGATCGCGGTTCAAAGGACTTCTTATCGCTTATACTGCAGGCAAGGGAGTCAGAGAAGTTAGCTAAGAATGTTTTCACCTCAGATTATATCAGTGCTGTAACTTATGAGCACTTACTGGCTGGTTCTGCAACAACTTCCTTTACATTGTCTTCTATTATCTATTTGGTTGCTGGCCATCCAGAGGTTGAGCAGAAGTTGCTCACGGAGATAGATGCTTTTGGCCCTGATGATCACATACCCACTGCCATTGATCTTCAGCAGAAATTCCCATACCTTGATCAGGTGAGTGCCAAAACTTTACTTAATCTTCTAATAAACTCTTAAAGAAACTACAGACAGAATGTCGGAAAAGACAATCTCATTCTTCTTGTAATTGTTTACAAACTTTAGGTAATCAAAGAAGCAATGAGGTGTTATGTCGTCTCACCCTTAGTTGCCAGAGAAACATCAGCTGAGGTGGAGATCGGAGGCTATAAACTTCCTAAGGTTCATATCCATTTTCTCTATAATGATTATCTTTTTAACTCTTCCAAGAGTTAGATTTTAATGGATTGGAGAGGGAAGGGATTGGTTCTACTTAAATAGATCTCATGTTTATTATTTTTACCATATTTTTAATAATTAAGCAGGGCACATGGGTTTGGTTGGCTCTTGGAGTTCTTGCTAAGGATTCAAAGAACTTCCCCGAACCAGAGAAGTTTAGACCAGAGAGGTTTGATCCAAGCTGTGAAGAGGAAAAACAAAGGCATCCTTATGCAAATATTCCATTTGGAATAGGGCCGCGAGCATGCATAGGACGGAAGTTCTCCATACAAGAACTTAAACTCTCACTGATTCATTTATATCGCAAGTACATTTTTCGACACTCTCCCCTAATGGAAAAGCCACTGGAACTTGAGTATGGTATAGTACTTAACTATAAGCATGGAGTCAAGGTTTGTGCCATCAAGCGTAAATGAAAGTTTCCAACATCACCAGCTAGTTCTCTTAGCTGGTGATGTTGAGAAATGGTGAGAGCTCAATCTTGAACTGAATCCAGTACATCTGTGAAAGAACTAAAATACAGATTTGTAATTTCCACTATTTCAAATTCAGCTTGGCATTTCAAAGTAGAAATATTGCCTGTAACTCCATTTTATGACACATAAAAAAGATGTGAATCATTGGGTTAAATATTTCTGGTTTCCACCAAGCATCTATAGTCGCACACAGTCAAGATATGATCAACTTAGCTCAGCAAATTAATGATAATAGAGGAGATGATCTACATAATAACATACATACTATGAATGACAACCCACAAACGAAGTCCAGAAATAATTA